TGGGTCGAATCGATCTCGCTGTGGCGGGGTGCACATGTTGAGATCGCAAAGCGAACCCTCTGCGCGCTTTTCTCGCTGTGGCGCGGTGCACATGTTGAGATCGCACAGTGAACCCTCTGCGTGCTTTGGGTGGGCTGAATCGCTTTCGCTGGGCGCGGAGCACATTTTGAGATCGCGAAGTCGTGACGAAACACGTGAGGGTGTGACACGAAAGGCGAGTAGGGTCGTGGCTAGAGACATGAGACAGACCACGAAAGGCAGGACGGGAGATGTGACGGAGTTGTGACGCGAGGCGCGTCGAGACACATGATGAGAGACGTGTTGGAAGTGATGACGAGAGACGGGAGCAGAGTTGGAACGACAGGCGTCGCAAAGCACGTGACCAAAGTCCCTGAAGGGCCTCCCAAGCAAGGGCCTCCCCAGATTTGGTCTTTTTGCATGTTTAATGTTGGTTCAGGTTTTCTGTGTTCTTCATGATGTGTGATCGTTGTTGGGGGTACTTTGCTCGAATCTGGCTGCAATTGCTCAACTCCGCCAAGTGCAAAGGTAACGGCAAAGGTGGGGCCCGCAAATCAGGAGCGAGAAGCCAAACCTGCTGCGATTCCTAAGTGAGGTAGTTTAGATCACCAGTGTGATGTTGAGGGCAGCCCAGTCTCCCAAATCAAGCAAGAAATTCGGAGGGGTTCCAAAATGTAGGAAAATGCGATTGTTTGCTAGCAGTGCTTATTAAAGCTTATTAAAGCTTAATTAATAAGCTTTCATACTGCTTCATGAGGCTTAATAAGGCTTAGTAGGGCTTAATTTGGGGGGGGGAGCCTGCACAGAAACACGCTTTTTGCCCCCACCCCCCTTCCCCCTTCCTCCCCCTTCCCCCTCCCTCCCCTCCCTTCCCTCCCCTCCCTTCCCCACCCACCCCCTCTTACCCCCCCTCCCCTCCCCCTACCACCCCTCTTACTCAAAAAGAGACGATGTTTTGTTCCCTTTTCGAAGTATGGTGCTTTGACTAGAATCCTGGGGCATGTGTTCTAGGCTGGATGTCTTTCGAGATGGCGGTTTTGAAGGATATCTAAATAACCAATTATTAAGCTTTATTAAGCCTTATTAAGCCTTAATAAGGCTTAATGAGGCTTAATAAGGCTTAATAAGGCTCAATATGGATTCGGGTCAAATCTGGGAAATCTGGAAAGGCACTCCCTCGGGAGGCTCTGCAGGGACACATGATAATTTAATCTGATTCAAAGACGTGACAACAGACGTGACCAGAGGTGTGGCGATGGATGTGAGAAGAGGAGAGCCGTGACGAGAGACGTGACGAGAGATGCGACAGGATCCGTGACGAGGATCGTGACGCGAGAGGTTGCCAGAGACAGGGTGGCAAATATGACAAGATACGTTTGAGAAGAGACGTGGCGACGGTTGTGACAAGAGACGTGACCAGAGACGGGGTGACGACTCACGCGACAGGATCTCCAAGAAAGACGCGACGGGAGATGGAAGTAGTCGTGACGAGAGGCGCGTCGAGACACGTGATGAAAGATAAGATGAAAGTCATGACGAGAGACGTGGCCAGAGTTGCTACGACAGACGTGACCAAAGACGTGACCAGAGGCGTGACGATGGATGTGAGTCCCAGAGACGTGACGAGAGATGCGACAAGAGACGTGACGAGGATCGTGACGCGAGAGGTTACCAGAGACGGGACATATGACAAGAGACGTTTGAGACGTGGCGAGGGTCGTGACAAGAGACGTGACCAGAGACGTGACGCGAGGGGTGACGACGCGCGCGACAGGATCTCCAAGAAAGACGTGACGGGAGATGCTATGTAGTCGTGACGGGAGGCGTGTTGAGACACATGATGAAAGATAAGATGAAAGTCATGACAAGAGACGTGGCCAGAGTTGTTTCGACAGACGTGACCAAAGACGTGACCAGAGACACGACGATGGATGTGATGGATGTGACAAGAGACGTGCGGGGAGAGTCGCGACGAGACGCGAGATAAGGCGTGACCAGAGACGTGACGAGAGATGCGACAAGAGACGTGACGAGGATCGTGACGCGAGAGGTTGCCAGAGACGGGGCGGCAAATATGAGAAGAGACGTGTGAGAAGAGACGTAGCGAGGGTCGTGACCCGAGACGTGACCAGAGACGTGACGCGAGGGGGGACGACGCACGTGACAGGAGACGTCTGGAGACGCGACGTAGTCGCGCAGGGGCTGCCGTTAGTGGCTGATCTGATGTCAGGTCTGAATGCCCCGACCAAGCCCTTCCTGCTCTGTGGTTGGGCTGCCCTGACGGTCGATTGGTGCATCGACAACACGCATGACCTTAATCAACCCCTTCAGCAGCGGAGTTCTGAGATCCCTAGGAAGTTTAGTGATGGGCGCCCAGCGCTCCACTGACCATTGTGAGGGGCTACCGGGACTGCGTGGAGCGTGGACTTTCGGTGGCGCCAGGTGTAAGTACCAGAAGCCAAGCATGGCCCCCCGCTCTTTG